AAAGATCACTAACAACTCTCTTTACTAGTCCATGTTCAGACACTTTCTTACCTGTTACTGGATGGACTGACATACCATCATGCACCTGAAAAGTACACAAGTAACTTGTTTTAGCATTTGAGCAAGACCAAACCTTAAATCATTTTTGAGTGCGTTTTTTGGGCATTTTAACTTTCCCACTGCTCCTACCTTTGTACTTAACTATGGCTTCATCTAAAGAAAGCTCTTGACCAGGATTAAAATGGGCCAAAAATGTATGACATAAAACTTCAACTACAGGCTTGAGCTTCTAACTCAGGCTTGATGTTTTCTCTACACTGCTGTTATCTACCAAATGTATGTAACCTCTAATTGCCCAAAACCTATTACGAGACACTTTTTAACAGATTCAACACCAAGTAAAGGGTCAGAGCTCCAGTAATTGTCTATTTCAGGCAAACGATGAATTCCCATCACTACAGTTATCCCTAAAAATGCCCAAACTTCTTCAGTAGTTACATTTTTCCACTTCCTAATTTTACGATGTACAATGGCATACCTGTTAGTTTCTTTGGCTGTCAACTCACATATTGAATCCGGCCAAAGAAGTTTGACAAGATCAAAAGGACTCATAGAATGATCAACAACAGGTGATGGACCTTCCAAACCTTTAAACTCTGGGTAACTTCCAGTTTGAAAAGAAACATCAAGTGCATAAGCACTCGCTTTCTTCTTAAGCTTTGATGTACAGGGAAGACCATCAAAATCCTCACCATCAATACAAGTAGACTCCTTTTCTTCCTCCTCCTCCTTCTTCTCACTGTCACTGCTATCATAATCTTCAGAACTTTCATCAGATGGAGAACTTAAACCTACATGTACAGTACAATTAGACGGTATGAAATTCTAATTATTGCTTAAAAATTGAGTATTTAAATTAAATTCATGACTGGAAGGGGATAGCACAATCGGAACGAGTTCGTTTACTTAGGGAGGACTGGGTATTACTAAATTCAAGCAAAATTAATAATATTCATAGTCCTAAACTCTAATAATTGCCCAAAATGCCACTTTTTGAATTAATTTTACGACTGGGAGGGGCTAAAACAATAGAAACGAGTTTGTTTAGTTACTAGGGACTAAAACCGACTAGATTAAAGCAAAATTAATGATATTCATAACCAAAATCTGTAATTATTGCCCAAAATACCACTTTTTGAATTAAATTCACGACTGGTAAGGGCTAAAGCAATGGGAACAAGTTTGTTTAGTCACTAAGGACAAAAACCGACTAGATTCAAGCAAAATTAATGATATTCATAGCCCTAAACTGTAATTATTGCCCAAAACTCCTCTTTTTGAATTAAATTCACGAGTGGGAGTGGCTATAACAATTGGAACGAGTTCGTTTAGTTATAAGGGACTAAATCCGACTAGATTTAAGCAAAATTAATAATATTCATAGCCCTAAACTCCAATTATTGCCCAAAATTCCACTTTTTGAATTAAATTCACAACTAGGAGATTCTAAAACAATGGGAACAAGTTTGTTTAGCTACTAGGGACTAAAAGCGATTAGATTCAAGTGAAATTAATAATATTAATAGCCCTAAACTCTAATTGTTGCCCAAAATACCACTATTTTTATTAAATTCACGACTTGGAGGGGCTAAAACAATAGGAACGAGTTTGTTTAGTTACTAGTTACTAAAACTGACTAGATTTAAGCAAACTTAATGATATTCATGGCCCTAACCTCTAATTATTGCCCAAAATTTCACTTTTTAAATTAGATTCACGACTGGGAGGGACTAGCACAATTGAAACGGGCTAGATTCAAACAAAATTAATAATATTCATAGTCCTAAACTCTAATTATTGAGTAACATTCCACTTTTTTAATTAAATTCATGACTGGGAGGGGCTAGCACAATTGGAAAGGGTTTGTTTTGTTACTAGGAACTAAAACCTATTAGATTCAAGCAAAATTAATGATATTCATATTCCTAAACTCTAATTATTGCCCAAAGTTCCACTTTTTGAATTAAATTGACAAATGGGAGGGGCTAAAACAATGGGAATGAGAATGTTTAGTTACTGGGGACAAAAAACTACTTAATTCAATCAGAATTAATGATATTCACAGCCCAAAATTCTAATTATATCCCAAAACTTGAGTTTTTTATTCAATTCATGATTGGCAGAAGTCATATTGATTTGTATAAATTTGTTTAGTTACGGGAGACTAAAAACTACTAAATACAATAGAAACCAATGCTACAAAGTACCCTTGAAAACTAAGATTTCAATTAAAAATTCATGTAATCATAATCAAAACTATAAAATTACACACAGTGGGTGTGGCTGCTAGAACTAAAAACATGAGTAAAAAGCAGAGGAAAACGACCCCAAATGTAACGTAAAACACAACAATAATAGCTGCTACTATTATTGCTTACTGGTATTGTTGTTGCAGAACGAGACCAACCAGTCCAATGAACTTATTTCTGTATCTGAGTCTTGTTCGTACTCTTCTTGATAACAATTCCAGTCATTTGACGAATCCATAGTAAAATAAAAGCAAAATAATAATTGTCAGATTATCCCTTTTCCTTTCACAACAAAATTCATAAAAATTAGTCTTTTGGACGTTTTGAATTAATCATGTTGTCAAGGAAGCCACTCAAATCAGGTGCAATCTTGGATGCCATATTTCTTGCCCATGCCATTTTGATTGTTTTTCATAGAGTATTTTTGTACCTTTCAAGAGCTCTCAGTAGACCTGCAAAGTCTATTCCATTTACTTAAAAGTGCTCCAGCACCTACAATACTTGCACATACATAGATTTTAGCTGCTGCATTTACTACAACCAGTTTCATTGCTTTTACACACTCCATTAGTGTTAGATTTCATTCAATCAATGACTCAACCAAGATCATTCACGAATAGTCACCTTTTTGCAAAAAGAAATAAGTGTTGAAATCAATTACATCAAAGTGCTGACAAAGCATTTTTTTACTTTTCCATTGTTTCCTATGGTTTCTATTTTACCACTAATGTTATATAATACCAATTTTTGTTAAGGTGTGGTTTAGGTATGGTTTCCTGTAAAACGCACCTTTTTTTCAAAAAAAGGCGTGGTAATTGCTTTTTTATTAATCTTATTACTTTGTTGTAGTTCTAGAACAAATTGTCAGGCAAAGAGTTCAAGGTGAAGGTCACTCTTGAAAGGATTAGTAATAATAATGTACAATGAGAGAATGAAGATCATCACTAAGAGATGAAGAACACTCCTATTATGGGAGTGTTCACTGTAATAGTCATTTCACTCCACATTTGGGGTGTCAAATTCTTTACAGTGGAATTCTGTATTGCATTAGTTTATACTTTAAACCACAAGTTTATAATACGTGTGGACACAATGAAAGCGGTTTAATAAAGCGCATTACAACAATGCGATTTATAGTGTAAACAGGGCTTTAGTTGTATTGTAAGGTTTATAAATACTTCAATAAAGCCTGAGAAGTCGATGAACTCTTTGTTTGCTCGAGCAACTCACAGTTAACTCCAGCAACTCTTTGTTAGCTCGAGCGACTTTGTGTTAGCTTGAAAGCCTCAGAGTCAGCTCTAAGGACCATGTTTTAGCATAAGCAAGTCTTGGTTAGCTTCAGAGACTTGGTGTTTGCTCAAGCAACCCTGGATTTGCTCGAGGAACTCTGTGTTACCTGGAGAGACCTAGTGTTAACTTCATAAACCCTGTGTTAGTTCTAGCAACTCAGTCAAAATTCTAGACACTCTGTAGAAAGTTTGAAGACAGCAGTAAGCTTGTGGAATCTTATATGAAGTAATAATTATTATAAATAAACATTAATGTATGCCTTATGATTTATCTTTTCCACTTGAGTGAAAGGAGTCTAAATTCAAGGACCTAAAGTCAAACAAAGGTAAAGCAACACACAATGATACAAGACTGTCTCAGAAATGTTAAAAGGTAAGTTTGAGAGAAAGTGAAATTGTATTTATTGTACTGTATAGGAGGCACAATGTATTAATGTATATTGTAGTACTTGTAACTTACCATGACTGTGAGTGAGTGATGGAGACATGTGAGTAAGTGACAAAGACACGTGAGAGAGCATCGTGGGTGTTTGTATTGGTTCTACTGTATAAGAGGGATAGTACATTAATGTGTATTGTACATGTAACTCACTATAACTGTGAGTGACACTCTTTATTTTAGTGAGTGAAGGAGAGAGAGTCTTCCTCTTTTCCTTTAAGCTTATCCCTCTCTCTTTACCTCTACTGGTACCTCATAGTCCTCCACTGGTTTCTAAAGACGTCTGACTCCATTTTCTGGTAAGAAAAAAGCAATGATGTTTAAAGCTGCACTTATTCCACTCGTGTCTGGGTCTTGGCTTAATCCAGCCTCACCTAAGTCTCCTCTCGACCCAACTATCTCTTAGTCATCTCATTACTGCTGTTCCCATCATCACTGTTATCCATGACAATTTCTATTGATTTTTATTATTAATAATGACAATTATGATACTGT